CAACACCCACAGTCCTTGTGCACACTATCGACCTCCTCTTTTGATGGTTCTTTTGATTATGGCTGTAAAAGTCAATAATTCTTCTGGGTATTAACCCTTAACATCACCACAGTACATACAACATGTACCTCTAACATGAAAATGAAGCAACTATATCAAACTTAACTTCTAGGGTGGGAAGCAAAAATCTTGTGATCAATCAAATAAGCTGTGTTAACCTCCTCTCAATTGGCCTTATTTATCTGGACCACGTTATTGATCTTGAAGGGCACTGTCATCTCATTAACAGCAGGCTCTGCGTGCTTCCTGTGATTGACAAAACCTCTCTGGGTAACAGAACAGCTGCCAACAGGGGCTGGTTTCCTCAGGCACAAACACGTCACAGAGAAGGTGTTGACTCTGAGGAGGGACCAGGCACAGGACAAGTTGGGAGGCAGAGCTGTCCCTGAGTGGAGCCATGCAGAGGGTCTGCTACCTCATCCACCTCACCCTCTTCTGGGCAGGTAAGGCAGATCCTGGAACCTCAAAAGAGCAAGGCTCAGCAAGGCATCAAGGCTGCCAGGGCCTGGCCCTCGAGCACAGCACCCGTTACTCAATGATCTCAGCCCCAGTCCTCACTAAGCCCCTCTCGTGTCTCTTCTCTAGGAGTCATGTCAGCTGTCATGTTGGTGCCTCAAGACCAAGCAAGGAGTGTGTCTGTGGGGGAATCTGTCACCCTCAGGTGCTCCATGAAAGGAGAATCCATCAGTAACTACTATACCTTCTGGTACAGGAAAACACCAGGTAACACAATGACTTTCATATACCGAGAAGGGGGCACATATGGCCCTGGTTTCGAAGACAACTTCCAAGGTGAAATTGATTTTTTAAACAACCAGGCTGTGCTGAATATCCTGGAGGCATCAGAGAGAGATGAAGGATCTTACTACTGTGCCTCGACCACCACCCTGCTGTGGGTTCACTTCTGAGCAGCTCAAAAAATGTGGAGATCTACGTGGAGCAGCAGTTCCAACAAGATCATGACTTTCTCCTGAATAGATAGTTCAAGAAATGGAAGCCGGAGAAGGCTGACGTTCATGCCTTTCCTTCAGGTTCACTGGCTCACAGCCTGCCCATGCACTCCAGTGGTGCTCAGATAGGCAACCCCCACTGGGGTGTGGCCCGGTGTAGGGCAGGAGAGAGGAGAGACAGAGTCAGAAATTGTAGCATTTACGGTACACTCTTAACAGTTTTCTTGGAGAGTCATAAAAGATTTGGCCACACAGCCTAAAGTACTTAGGATATGACATAAAGAGGCACTTTCCAAAGTATGACTATGGTGATGTCCAGTTTCTCCCCAGCCATATACACCAGGAATCTAGCTGTTCTCAAGGAGAGAGGCTGGGAAGGTGGGAAGACTCCTCCCTTCCTTCGGCATCAATGGTACACACTGCCTGTCATCTTCTCAACGTGGATGGCAAGACTTGATCTCTAGCTTGCTGTACTGTTTTGGACTTTTGCCCTCCTTTCCATCTCTACCTCTTTACTTCTTCTTCTATGTGTTCTAGAAAAAAGACATTGAACAATTTTTTCCCACTGGCATTTCTTTATCCTTCTTTGGACAGCTCAGTTTAGACTCCACTTTTATCTTGAGCGATGTACTTTTCCAGATTTAGATGACTGACAGCCTATTCTGAGGCTGAACCTGTCCTTCCTTCTGACCTCATCTAGAAAAGCTACCATTCACCTCACTGAATACCTTACTGGAATTTTGGTGGTGATGGGTATGTTCAGTAATTTGATTATTGTGATGGTTTCATGGGTGTATGGGTATATCTGAATTCATCAGGTTGTGTGCTGTAAATATGTACTGCTTATTAATAAAGATTAATAATCTTATCAATAATCTAATCAAAGATCCTGCTGTTCACAGAAGTACAAAAAAGGCTGACAAGTGTTTGCCAGACACACACAGTTACACAGTTGGTTCCAGTCAGGGATCCTCACTGTTCCACCAAGGCACCTCCCAATCTGCCCATCTCTTGTGATTTTGTCTGACCTTTCATATATATGTATCTATATATGATAAAGAATGATATTTGGAAGCTTTATGTAGATGTTGTCAAAGTTTTGGAACCATAGTTTTAAAAGACCTGCAAAATGGAATCCTAGGAAGAGACCCAGTGGGTCCTTCTGACAGAGACCAGAAGAATGTCTTTGATGAGAAGGAGGAGAGAAAACATCTGGACAAATTCATAAAACTGTACGTTAGCTGTAATAATGATTAATATCTGTTGAGTGTTACATGTGTTATATGATTTAATCCTCACAATGATCCTATGACGCATTTTCTATTATTATCCCCATTTTACAAACGAGGACACTAAGGCACAGAAGAACTAAAACACGTGCCCAAGATACCACTGGTAATAAGGGAGGGCGACAGATTTCAGACTCTGGAGCTGAAGGACACAGTATGTGATTCAGGAGGTTGGGGGAGGGTGGTTCATAGAGGAGACTGTCCCCAGGATGTGTCAGAAATAAGGGACAACAGGGCTGTGCCCTCGCCACCAGACCTATTCAAACCAATGCTCCGTGACCATCTGTCAAGAAACTGGGACAATGCAGCACAGGTCCCAGAGGATTTCTCAATGTTTTCTAACTCTGAGATTTTGTGATCGTGACACAAGCTTCACTCCATCTTCTAAAATTATCTGTACCTCTTCATCTTTGAAACCAGGATAAGAAGAGTTACATCTTCAGAGATAATAAGAGTTCCATCTTCACAGTGTTGTTAAAGGCAAATGATAGAGAGGAAGTAAATTGCATTGTACATGGTAGCTATGCCATAAATGTTACTTAACATAAGTAAAGTAAAGGGCCAACAATAAAGTGGAATAATTGAGAAGAAAGTGAACTAAATTACAGAGTGCGAAGATGCAACCACTCTGCAGGTGTGGACTCACTTAATCCTTATGACAGCCCCGTGAGGTCTTTATTGTCAGCTCAGTGTCACAGATGGAGAAACTGAGCCTCAGAGAGACTGGGTAGCTTACCTAAGGTTCCAGAAGCAGAGCTAGGATCTGGGTCTGAGGCAGACGGCCCAAGTACTGAGCTAGGGGCTGTGGGATATACTAAAGAAATACATGGCCTATAACAATGCCTGAATTAGAGAACGGCTGGGAACAATTGTGTGAATTCCAGTCATCTGTGTGATGCAGAGGTTGCCCTTGACTCCTTGGCCAGTCCTGGGGAGAGGGAATGGGGGTAGGGGTACCTAACCCCTTCCACCTCCACTTCTCCCTCCCTTGCTTTAAAACACCAGTTGCAATTGCAGCTTCCAAGCTGTTCTCCGGAGATTCCTCACTCCTGTGACTGAAGGAGGACTGCGGCTACACAGCCCCCTCCCACTTCCACTCCTGAGCCCACCCCTAGGTCTGCAGCTTGTCTCCCAGGCCACAACATGGGAAATGGGCCAACATCTTCCTCCCTTCTGATGCTTGCCAAAGGCAGTAGCTTGTTGAATTCTCTTAGAGTCTCTAGGGTGCTAATGTATTCACTGCCTTCTTCTTGCCTTCTCAGAGGCCTGTCTGGAATGGCAGCTACAGGGGTCTGGGGCTAGTGTGATGAGAGCTGGAGAAATTCTGCGGGTCCCTGGAGGGTCCATAGAATTGCCAACTTTACCATCCATATATATCTGCACAGTGAGACAGAGTGTCCAAGTTTGTCTCTTCCATTTTCACTGACTTATTATCACTTAATCGAGGCAGCAGAAGGGCTCAAGATCTATCATCCACAGTTCTCTGCATTCAAAAATGAGGAAACTGACACCAGAAAGTGCTGAATTAAGGTGTGGGAGCCACCAAGCAAAGAAGAGAACTGAGTTCAAACAAAACTTTCCCCACTCTAGGTAGAGTCTTAGGCCCCTGCAGTGCCTCAGACAGAAAGTACTGGCTAATAAATTCTCCATAGCAACAAGGTGAAAAAACTCTGGAATTGAGGCTTCTTTCCTACTTCTCAATTCAACATCTTGCCTCCAAATATAAATTGAAATCATGGGGTTATACATCTCTAATATTTTTTGGTCAGAGCGCTTTATTCTTCCTCCAGCAAATACCATCTCTCCTCTATGCTTAATTTTTCTCCATAGCATTTATTACCATCTGATGTGCTGTATATTTTACTTGCTTATTTATTTGTTATTTAGCTCTCCACTGACTGGAACACAAGCTCCATGATGGCAGAGATTTTGTCTGTTTTCTTCACTGCCTTAACTCCACCACTTAGAAATCTGGCACAAAATGGGCACTCAACAAACGTGTGGAATGAATGAGTGGGTGAAATGTGGAATGAATGAGTACTACATACCCTGCACTGTGCTGAATGCTGGGGATATAATAGCGCACAAGACTGGTGACAACTTTGCCCTCAGAAATGCTTTATCCAAGCCTCATCTATCCACTAACAAGATTTTCTGAAGGGTAGATAATAAAGCAATCTAGAACACCAAATAACTTACTCTTGGAGAGCAGACATAAGAGCTCCTACATTCCTTGGACATCCCCCCATGACAGGGATAAAATGGGGGGGAGCAGGGAAGGGGTGGGGATGGCAGGCTTTCTCGTGAAAGAAAGACTTCCATTTTTCAAAACCAAGTGATGGAATTCCATGAATTAGCACAAGTGGAGAGGAAGCCATACTGAAAAGGTCAAAACTTAGAACATGAAAAGGAAGATGGCAGACTTGGATGATTGACAAATGGAATATGGAGCAGGTCACATTGAGCCCTTTGCCTTTTCTCCCTCCTTAGGTGACCACATTCTGTGGATTGATGAGTGTGTCTTCCCAACCATAAAAGGAGAGCATACGAATTGGATGAAGCATTTCTCTTGCTGGTCCCCAAGATGACACTACTCCAGCAGCCCCAGGAGAGAATGTGCCACCTCATCTACACTTGCAGATCCACATGCCTCCCAAAAACTGTCCCAACAGACAGGGAAGCTGACATAAAACATGCTTACCTCAGTGATGTTCTTGGTTTTTCCTCATCTCCAGGAACCTGAGGAATTTGGAGTAACTGTGGAGAAAGCTGGAGGGTTTTCACAATTCCTCGCAAAACTTTAGGGATTCTGCCTCCAGGACTTCTGGTTGTGCTGGGACCACAAGGCCCAGGGTAGGCCTCGGAGTTGCTTTCCATCCTCACTTGTCACCTAAGAGAAGTGAGCAATATTTCTCAGAGACAGTAGAAGGGAAGTCAGCATCCACAGAGACAATACCAAAAAAAGCAAACAAACAAACAAAAAGCCCACATACCTTGGGTCTGAGTTGTCAGCAGCTCTGTCACATCCAAGGCCTCCTCGCCCATAAAGACTTCAACTGTGTCTGCAGAGCACGTTATGGTCATGAGTGATTAACGGAAGATTAACTACCTCAATTGCCTTAAGGAGGAAGAAGAGTTTCATGCACCAAGTTTATAAATAAAAGAACCACAAAGGAGCCAATATTACTGGCACTACATGTTGAAACCAGACAGTTGACCCAGTAGCAATAACACTCCTCTGTAATAAGAATTAAAATCTCTGAGTTCACAACTAGTCCATTTCTCAGCATCCAAACCATCATTATGTTTTCCACATGAAGGATCTCCTTCTCAGCCCTACGGCCCTACCGCTATGCCCCGCAACACACAGAGTGTTAGAATGGTGAGAAACTTCAATCACCTCCTGGTTTATCCTCTTCCACTGAAGATGCAGAAACTGAGGAATGGAGAAATTGACTTTCTCTCCAGCCCACAGCCAGCGGGTGGCAAAGCCAAATCCAACCCCTGGTCATAAATACCTCCCACCACACCCTGACACCTGGTTGCCACGGGAAAGCACCCTATTAGCCCTGTATTTTCAGTCTGCATCCCTGCTATGCTATTCTCCCCTCTGGTCAGCTGGAGAATCTCCTCCTAGCCAAGATGAGCTGCAGGAGTAAAAAGTCTCATAGTTGTTGCAGGAGTACAGAGCCTCAAAGTACTCCAGAGGGTCCACTACACTTCCACCCTTGCTTTCTACCCCTTTCTAAAGAAACTCCTTGAAATCTCAAATCCTGCCCTGGGTCCTTTCGCATTCCTTTGGGAGACTAGCTCCACACCGAGTGCATAGCAGCTGTTCAGTATAAAGAAGAAAGGCTGCTCTCCCACTCTCTCTTCACCTAAGTAAACCCCACTCATTAGGGACCCTGCTCCTCACTCCCTGCCTTTGTCCCCATGGCAGTACCTCTGACCCTTTCCACTGAGGAACAGACAGATCAATGGCCAGAGCCTGCCTTCCCTTCAGAGACATAATCTCCTCCCCAAGGGTGTGGAGAAAAGGGAGCCCTCTTGCACTGTTGGTGGGAATGTAAACTGATACAGCCACTATGGGGAACAGTATGGACGTTCCTTAAAAAGCTAAACATAGAACTACCATATGATCCAGCAATCCCACTATGGGCATATACCCTGAGAAAACCATAATTCAAAAAGAGACATGCACCCCAATGTTCATTGCAGCACTATTTACAATAGCCAGGTCATGGAAGCAACCTAAGTGTCCATCAACAGATGAATGGATAAAGAAGATATGGCACATATATACAATGGAATATTACTCAGCCATAAAAAGAAATGAAATTGAGTTATTTGTAGTGAGGTGGATGGACCTACAGGCTGTCATACAGAGTGAAGTAAGTCAGAAAGAGAAAAACAAATACCATATGCTAACACATATCTATGGAATCTAAAAAAATATGGTTCTGAAGAACCTAGGGGCAGGACAGGAATAAAGACGCAGACGTAGAGAATGGACTTGAGGACACGGGGAGGGGGAAGGGTAAGGTGGGATGAAGTGAGAGAGTAGCATTGACATACATACACTACCAAATGTAAAATAGCTAGTGGAAAGCAGCTGCATAGCACAGGGAGATCAGCTCGATGCTTTGTGACCACCTAGAGGGGTGGGATAGGGAGGGTGGGAGGGAGATGCAAGAGGGAGGGGATATGGGGATATATGTATGCATATAGCTGATTCACTTTGTTATACAGCAGAAACTAACACAACATTGTAAAGGAATTATACTCCAATAAAGATGTTAAAAAAAAATCTCCTCCCCTTTCTTTTTCAGAATAAATGCAAGTCCACAATATGACAATGGTGTTAAGAAAAAGAAAGCTAGTAAGTTGCTATAAGATTATAAGAATGGCAATGTTATTATACTCAGCACTGGTCAGCTCTTCCCACAGGGTCACTGGCCTGGCACGTTCCTGAATTAGCCTGAGTAAGTCTTAGTGAAATTAAACAGTGTTGAATTGCAGCCTGTGAAGAGTTATTATGCAATGGAAAAGAAACCCACTAGACTGGAATGTGTATTCAAAACCTACTCTTGTCGTGTGAGAACCTGAGCCCATCACCTCCCTTCCCCAGGCTCATTTACAAGGGCAGGAAGCCGGAACTGATACAGCCTGAGGTTCCTTCCCTTCTCACCTTCTATGATGCTATGATTAGTCATACCCATTTCCTATGAGTGAGAAAAAGAGAAAACATTCTGAAATTTCAGCAAGAAGTTCAAAATGAAAAATCTCCTTGAAATGAAAATCATCAACAGCTGTAAAGAGGTACTAGTAAAAATAATCATTGATGGCCTACAGTCATGGGGTACTTTTGTATGTGTAAGTCGCTGCTCAAAGTAGTTTACATGTTTTAATTTGTTTAATCTTCAAACAACCCATTGCTACTATTGTCCTTATTTTGTAGAAAAAACACGGAAGCGGAAGCGAGGTGAGGGTAAGGCATTGCCCAAGGTCATACTACGGCTGAGTGGCTAAGCTTGGACACAAGCCCAGGCAGCCTGCCTCCAAAGATATTGTGCAACCCAAGAGGCTCCATTTTCTGGAGCTTATTAAAACCTGTCTTTTAAAACATGTCTGTGGGCAAAAGAGTGGGTCCGATACCTTCCCAAAGTCCTTTCTGACTGTAGCAGGCTCTATTCTATAAAAGGAAGCTATGCAAGGAGTGAAGAACTATCTCCTGTTGGGTCCCCCATGATACTACCCTTACTTTTCTTTTTTATTGGAGTATAATTGCTTTACAACGTTGTGTTCGTTTCTGCTGTACAATGACCACGTGTAAAATAGTAGCCAGTGGGAACATGCTATAAAGCACAGGAAGCTCAGCTCGGTGCTCTGTGACGACCTAGATGGGTGGGATGGTCTAAAAAATTTAGTCTATAAACTGCATATATGTTTTTATATATGAGTTCTTTTAATAGTAAAAAGAGCATGGGTTGTGGAATCAGACAAAAGTGAGGAAGAATCACAACTCCTCATTTACTGTAGGACCTTGAACAAGGTTGCTTAACTTCTCTAAACCTCTATTTCCTCATGGATAAAATACAGATAATAATACTTATTTCACAGAGTTATCACAAAGATTAAATGAAATAATTGCTAGAAATCATCTGGCACTCCTGGGTGACTAGCACACCAAAGGTGCTCAGTAATGCTAATACTCTAACTCCTCAGCTCTTAACGGTCTGAAGGAGGGTGGTTTTTACCCAGAAGAGAGAAGAATGAAGGATCTAAAATGGGAGGAGGGTTTCCCTGGTGGTGCAGTGGTTAAGAATCTGCCTACCAATGCAGGGGACACAGGCTTGAGCCCTGGTCCGGGAAGATCCCACATGCCGCGGAGCAACTAAGCCCGTGCGCTACAACTACTGAGGCTGCGCTCTAGAGACTGCGTGCTACAACTACTGAGCCTGCGCTCTAGAGACTGCGTGCCACAACTACTGAAGCCCGCAGGCCTAGGGCCTGTGCTCTGCAACAAGAGAAGCCACCGCAGTGAGAAGCCCCGCTCTCTGCAACTAGAGAATTCCCGCTTGCAGCGAACAAGATACAACACAGCCAAAAATAAAATGAATAAATTTATTTTAAAATAAATAAATAAATAAAATGGGAGGAAACATTGACAATGACCACTAACATTTTTTCAAACCAAGAAGTCCAAATGTGCTGCCAGCATATTTTTCATAAAAATATCTCATCAGGAATGTTCTTCCCACACGACCTCTCTAATTCTTTCCATGCATTGACAATAGTGAAAGTCTCAAAGACAAATCCAGTATTGGGAGGATCTAGGTCCCCAATAACATACTGTGTCTTCATTGTCCTTTGTCTGTACCAGATGAAGGTGGCCCAGGCCGATCTCAGCTCTAGCAGAAGTAACAAGGAGAATGAATTTTGCATGCCAAACTCTTTTCCAATAGACATGGTTCGGATGTCTAGGACAATAGCTACAAGGAACTCTCAATTTTCAGAAAGCTCAGCCTTCGAGCCTTGAGGATATTCCCCTGCAGGGCCTTACCAGTCGTAGGCTATTTAATTAATGTACCTTATTAGGAATACAGAGATGTTTTTTCATCCTTAAAAAGGAAAGTATTAAGTTTCATTAGTAACCTGTGAGGGGTTACATTTGTCCATCCTCATGCTGCCCGTGCTTTCTACCTAGGGTTAGCTCACTATGGCATTTGGCCAAGAAAACCATGTTCCCCTAAATGAATCCCAAAGAGCAATATCCTCACTGCAGTACTTTGGCTTCTTCCATTAAAAAAAAAACAAAAAACTATACAGACCTTATCCAGGGGAAATAGGAAGAAAAGCCAGGGAATCAGAGCTGCTCTCTTGCCAGAAATGCATGTTCTGATGGGAGAAGATGGTGAAGGGTGTCTGCACCAAATCCCACGTGGGAAAAAAGCTGTCTGAGATCGGAAGAAACTTCCGTCTGCTAAAAGGAGCCAGCAGCCTGTTGACAAAACATTGGGGGCGGGGGGAGTCAGAACTCCTCCTTTTGTGTGACTTTAGATAGATAAGTCACTTAAACTCTGAGCCTCAGATTCTCATCTGTACAATAAAGAGTTTATATTAGATGATCGCTATGCTTCCTTCAACACTAACAAACTATAGGTCTCTGCCCAGCAGGAAAGAGAAGGAAGCAGCTGTGGGACAAAGGGGATCAGATGTCACAGATTCCCAAGATTGTGATGCACAGATTCCTGCCTGGCTGATTCCTTTATGTGACTCAATAAGGATAAAATCAGAAAAAGAACTAAACAAAATACACTCATGATTAATCAAAGGGGACTGAAAGTCATTGCTAACCTCACACCTGCCTTGCTTTGCCTTCAGCTCACCTCCCTTGGGATATTCCTCCTCTTTAATGCCTCATCGGGATTTTTCAAAAACTGTGATCACTCACGGTTGAAGCTTTTAATCTCCCATGTATAAAAGGATATGCAAAGAGAGTTCCGTCTCCTGTTGAGTCTCTGCCAAGGTCTTAGCCTGGCAGTTCTGGGAAAAGAGCCAAAGACCCCATATTTCTTGGCTGTTAACATTCTCCCACCTGTGCTCAAGTCGGCAGGCTGGGCTTCAGGCTGTGGCTTGTCTGTAGTCTTACAGATAAGGAACTCTAGGTTTTCTAAAGGGACTCCTAAGAATATTTCTGCAAGAAAGTAACTTGGCCCTCAAGTAACCAGACAGAGGATTATCTGGTTATATTTGGTGACAGTAAGAAAAAGACCAGGAAGTCTATATTCTATATTATAGCCTCAGAATCCAATCTTATCCTCCAATCCAATCCAATCACTTCAGGTACTGATATTAATTAGATCTTAGGTAATGTTCATAAATAGCAATGTCATCTGTGTTCCCAATACACGGGATACTAATACTGTGTACATACGCAGGTGGAGAGGATAATGTTCTCAGGTATGATAACAGCCCTGAACAGCATTCAAAAAGGAAAGACCTGCAAAACACAAGACATCTCACTGTGTTTCTGAGCCAGAGGCTCTGCTAAACAACAGAATCGGGGATCAGACCAATTGTCCACTGTGTCTCCCTGATTGAACTCACACAAAATAGCAGCTGCCATTTTTACTCCATGCAAGGCTTTCAGACCCAAGTTCCCTGAAATGTTGTTACCAATATTCTGATGGAAAAGTACATGTTCCAAACTGTTAAATCTGACCATTCTCTAAGCATGGAATTTCCTCTTTTTCTGTAAATGTTCTAGCTTATTTTTATTTTCTAGTATTTCCTTTCTGAAGCTAATTCCCAAAGGGCTCTCCTATGCTTTCTCATTCCCATTACAAGGTCAACATACAAGTTGAATATTTTAATTTCTTCAGACACCTCTATGGAGAGATTTCCACTTCCATTTCTCTGTTATCCCAGGCACCTACCAGGAGCAAGGAGCTCAAGCTTGGACAACCTTGGGATACACAGCAACAATAAACATGCTCTCCATGTCATTGTTCCATGGCCAATTACTCAGTGTCTTCGGTGGCATTTGTTTCTCAATATTTTTCTCTGATCTTGATCCTTGGGCCTCCACTTTATAAATTCATACTTTCTTCTTTGAAATCCTCCCAGCCTCCCTCACCCTGAGCTTTACCCCTTCCAACAATGACATTTCTCAGATCATTTGCATCTCAACAGGGAAATGATGCAAAACAGGTCCCTTCCTATTCCGGTTTTTTGCTTCCCACTCCTACCCCTACCCATTCAGGTCTGGAAAGTTAGCACCACCTTGCGCCATTCATGAGCATTTTCTCAGAGATCTGTTTCCAGAGAAGCATTTTGCATGCTCTGAAGGGAGAAGATGGGTGAAGGATATCTTTTGGGGACCAAGCCTGAAGCCCACTGATATTGTGACTCTTGAAGGTGCTTGACTCAGAAAGACTGAAAGTTTCTACCTAAATCCAGGTCCAGCTACTTCATCACTGTAACTTGCCATTGGAAAAAGGATGGGCTATCTACATATCACTCCTCTAAAGGCACAGAACTGAATCTTAAATTCTACCTGATGTTTGGATTGTGAAGCTCCAGGACAAAGGCTGGGATGCACCAGTTCTGTGAACTCTAAAGGGAGCTGTCCAGATCATATGCCTTCAATGGAAGAAAGAAGTGCTGTCACCTTAGAAACTCCAACTCTGGTCTACTTGTGTTCTCTGATACCACACCTCATTCTATCGTGTATTTATGGCAGATCTGGTCTACTCAGAAATAACCTGGACCAAGTCAACATAGTCTTTGTTAGTCTTCAGACTCAAAGTGAATTAAGGGAATCTGACTCCAGAGTAAAATCTTCCCCTCTCTCCAGTACAGGCTCCAAAAGCTACGTATAGAGCAGGTCTCTAACCACCCCATTTTTACATTTGGATGTATTTCTCCCACTTCCTGTACACTGTTTCTTCGTACAAAGAATTCAGTGATAAAAACTGAGACTCCATCCTACATACACTGATTACCTCAACTATCAGTGCAGATTGAGTGTACGGAGGGAGGACAATTTTGTACCAAGATTTATTTATCTCTGTTTTCAGGAAAAAAACAATAGACACTTTCTCCCTACAATGGCTTTCTCACTGATAGATTATTTGCCACAAGGGGTTCAAATGGTTCTGCCATCGCTTTTTGGCTTCCACACCCCAAGCCATCTGGTCTCCATCACATCTGAAGGAGGATCTCCTTGTTCAGCTTTGTTGATGCCATCACACTGATCCCAGAAGTCAGACCTGACTACACAGATTAGCTAACAAACCAGGGAAAGCCCGTGTTCTAAGACAGAGGTGGAAAGTGGTGGGATGGATGGGACCAGGGTGCTGGGAAACTGCTCAAGTCTACCGCTGACTCAGTCTTCTCACCACCTGCCTAATGCGTCCAAGAGATGCGTCTTCCTTATGAGGTACCAGAGACTCAGAATATCCACATCCTGTGGTTCCTGTACCCCCTAACACCCCACATTTGAGTTCCTTTCCTATTCAGAAAACAAAAGCTGCTGGCTTTGGGCCAGTTCACAACAGATGTAAGGCACAACCGCCAACTACCCAGGAAGCATCCACCAGGGCAGGGCATGAGAATCTGCTTCTTAGAAATTCCCATTCTTGTGGTCCCATCAATCATCTAACACCTGCCCAAAGAGAGACTGAGAGACTTTCTCCTGAGCATCTTCAGGGATTTAATGCTTCCTGATGGGAATTGAGATGGCTGAGTTGCGACTAAGTTTAAGAGACTGAGAGTTAAGGGAATTATTGGAAAGCAGGTATTACTCTACATGTACTTTAGGCACACCTGCAAATCTATCCAAAACTTTGATACAATGTTTTCCTAAATCACTGACATTGCCCACCTCACTCTCTGAATCCATGAGGTGATCACACACTGGACAGGCTTTCAAAGCCATGAGCAGCAGGACCTTTCCTTTCTCCACATGCAGGACAATGGAGTTGGGGATTCTGCTCATCAGAATGCTATTGCTAGTTTGTGAAAGGCCTTGCAAAGATGTCCTTGTACTGCAACATTCTGTAAGAGATTGTACTTTGACTTTCTCTAAGGCCGTAGATCTCTTTTGCTACCTTTGTGACCTAAGAGAATGGTCCCTTCTGTGTACTGCCTACTTAGTAAAGCAAAGAATAATAGGAAGCACACGGACAAAGTAAAAGGAAAGACACAAAGACATTAGTACGAGGGAGAATACTGTTGTGGACTCAGAATGTTTATCACTTGAATTGATATTAACCTGAACTTCCTAGAAAATAACGATAAAAACGTCAATATTAAGATATGTATTTTCTTAGTGTCTCTGAAACAAAATATGTGCATTCAAGGAGTACAGAATCCTTGAACCCTGTAGCTTTCACTAAAAGAAGTGCTTAACTGTGGCTGGAATAATCCAGTGTCCTGGCAGTAGCTAAGGGAGGCTGCCAGCTGCCAACCCTCTGCAAACTGTAAAGTAGGTCATCCACGGCTCCTTGTTCTCATCTTTCTGGGCCATTTTCTTGGACCCTCCTTCCCATCACATACCTCATACGCTTCTATTCTATTCCCATCAAAACCTGGTATCAAGAAATGACCCGAAACTAGTTCATACTAATTTAGCGAACAATGGAAATAGATGGAGCCTTTAGGTTCTCTAAGGTTGGGGTGGGAGGGAGGGAACACGGTATTTTAGTAGAGAAAATAGCCAAAAGCTAAAGACTAAAGAAACCATGGCAGAATTTTCAAAGCTTGAGGACACTGCCCACAATGAAAGATGGAAGTTTGTTCTCTCTTTGTTTGGAGGCTCAGTGTGGATCAGACAAAGAGAGTCTGGAATTTCCCAGAGCAGGCAATTCTTTCTCCGTGTCCAGGAAGACAGAGAACATTAACCTGTCTACAACAGAGGACAGAACTGGGGCCAAAAAGAAAAAAAATAAAAATGACAGATAGATGGATATAGAGATTTCCAGATACAGATATAGATGTATATATAGATATAGATATGGAAAAAGACTTCATCTCAATAGCAGGAATTGCTTTTTTACAGTTGACAGCCATTCAGCAGTGAAACAAACATGCTTGTGAGAGTGTAAGTTCAGGTGGGTGAATACACTAGTAAAGTTGTCCTCATTGTTTGGGAGCTAGAACTCAATGACCTGAGTTCTTTTCCTCCAGGAAATTCATTATAGAGCCTACGTTGAAAGACAACCAGGACTGCTACCAAAAAGCAGCTACAGTTGCTACGTTGGTATATCCTTTCCCAGTTTCTTTTTCAATGTATAAATTATTACACACTCTGTATATGTAATTATACCCCCATATACACATTTGTATCTTTTTGAACATTATAAAATCAATTCTCTATGTTATCAGATACTTTTTCTTAATAGTATTTTTAATAATCTACATTAATATTGTATCCAGGAATAGCTATGGTATAATCACTCCTCTTATGGGGAATTTAGGCACC